CCTTTCCTGCCCTCCCACTCTCACTCTTTCTCCCCTTCCTCACAACCTGTGCAGCAAGAATGAATGAGAGACGTCCTCAGATTTGGCTATAGAGAGAAGTGGGTGTGGAGGTGATAGAGGGGAGGGTTCGATGACCAAAATAAGGTGGAGACATTAGGAGAGGAGGGAGGAGCCCGATCAAATAGGGGAGGAGAGGAAAAAGGATGTTACAAAGGGTGGATGGGGAAGTGGCTGTGTTTTTTTGACTCTCTAAGCTGAGGTTGATTTGTAATCAGAAAAAAATAATAATCTCATCACATCAGCTGAGCCTCTCTTGGCCTCTATTTGTGAATGAGAGATTTATGCCTAGGGAGGGAGGGGTCAGTGAGCGAATGAAGGGGTAAACAAGAACAGAGAGATGTGTGGGGAAAGCAGATGGAAAGTACTGTACATCCAGCTGCTAAGCCCATGCCACTGACATTGCTAGAATTATTAGGCTGAGTGGTGCTAAATAGGTGACGCTATGATTTTCAATGAAAGTCCCATTATAGTCACAGTGAAATGCTCAGGAAGTTCATTTGCCTTATATGCTGCAGAGATTCTTCAATAACTGAGACAAATCCCATTAAAATTTTCCTCTTCTGCTTTTATTTTTAAATTCAAACAGCCTGACTAAGTCTGAGATACTAGGAAAAATGAAATGACAACAACAAAAGCACATAAAAGTCATCTGAAAAAGGTTTTGAGAGAGCAGGGAGACAAAGCAACATCAAAAAAAGAAAAAGGGAAAGGAAAATTATCTTAACACAAAATGCAGAGCCAGATTGGTGGACATAAAGGGACTAGAGTGAGAAAAACATTTCCAGTGCTATTTTCAGGACCTTGCTGTTATTTCACTCACATGGCAGAGAGATTTGGCCTTTGGGCAAAGTCGACCTTTGACGTGGGCTGGAATGAAAGAGGTAGTGTTAGTAGAGGAGGAGTGTAGGTGACTAGAGGGGCTTAGAGGACAGAACAGAGAAGAAGGTCAAGGATTATGTGGTGTAACTGCAACTACAGAGCAAACGGTCCAGAAACATTTAAAAGTCAACTGAATGATTATTCCTTCTGGTTGGAGTTAAGTGTATTTTCATGCACGGGAGGTTGAGCAGTGGAGGAGGGGAGTGGTGTGGGTGGGTTTTTAAAGGGCCCATGCCATGATTTTCCTTGACTTCGCTACAGTATTACAACGATGAATTCCTATCTTAGACGTCACCTAAAGATCAAAAAATGAGACGAACGTATGTTTTAGTATTTTTATGTAGAAGTAACTTGGTTTATACACGTCTCGCAAAGTCTCGCGAGCGAGACTTTTTTCTACCAAAATAAAGTATTACATGATAGTTTAAGGATTTCCTTGAATGGGCATTAAAACCAGGCCGTTGCATGTTCATGTGAGCTTGCCTGACATCCACCAGTGCCCCTACCATACTGGCAAAATGTTATACTGCCTTGTTTGTTATGTATGTTTTCAATAAAGCTGGCTGAAAAAACGTAGAAAAAGACATCCACGATACTACTGTAAAAGTGGAATTTTTTGACTGCGGCTGGTTTTGTGGATATATTTTACCTCTTGCTGCTGCACTGTGACCAGAGCATGTGGAGACAAATACAGGGCCTGAGGTTACTGCATGTCCGGGAATGTTCCTGTACAGGGACCTGCTGTTTTACCTGACCAAGTCTAACCTACAATCAGCCGGCCTGTGAAGCCAGAGAATTATAGACTATTTGGAATTATGAGGGGTGCCAAGATTAAACACTAAATGCTTGGAAACAAGCAGGTCATGGGGACTTTGTGTCTGATTTTGTTACAAAGCACTTCTATCCAAACAGCAAGCACCAGCTCCGTACAGTGCAACTCACTGTTTCATGTCTTCAGGCTGAAAAGTTGTGGGTGAGTTTTATGATAAGCTTTACAGACAAAATACAGACTAAGTAGTTGTTGAATGTTTCTGAAGAAATTAAACCTTTATTAGTCACTAATTGCCAAATGATTTTAGCCCAGAGTGGTTGCATAACTTGTACTGTGTCAGGCAGGGATTGCACAACATTTCATGAGGAATGCATAACAGGCTCAAGAGGCCGACTCACTACAAGCTGCAGAGGTACAGCTTTTAATGAAACCAGTGACCGTTTGTCAAATGATAAGGCCATGATTAAACTGAGGAATGTTTCTTATGTGAAAGGCTGGAAAAGGAGAAGCCTTTTACCTTTGTGAATCAGGTGGTTCTCAATGACTCTCAATGGCACCGCGTCTAACACAGGTGCAACTGAGTGCCTCTGCTTGTCATGTAAACAAATACATGTAAACAAATACTTGAGACTCAGCCCGATGTTTGTACAAACGTGCTGAACGTGTGTTTGGTTTGCTGGCACTCCATATACAGAACTGTGATATTAATGCCATGTGAAAGAGCTGAGTATCTGGTGTCAGGTCGTTAAGACCAGGCAAAACAAAGGGCTGATGCAGAACTGCGGATAGGAGGCTAAACGCAGAAAAAGCTTACCCCTCACATCCCCTCTTCTGTGGCACCGTATGTCAGAAATATCCTAATAAATCCTTGAATGAATATCTTCACATCAAGCCGATAGGCAATATCTCACTTCCTTCTCGGGCTGAAAGTTTCAAGTTTGTTCAACATCTGACCACACATGTCATCACTGGCAGGTGTTGATGTGCTGTTTCATATACAGATAAGACACTAAAATACAGTCCAGCAAGTCCCAATGGTGAATTTATGTGTTTAAAGCTCTTTAGATGCCAAAACACAGTAGAGTGCTTTGTGATCCTCACAGACAGGATTCTTAACTCAGGAAAAACTATCATCTGTTGTTTTATGTTAACTGTTTTATCCTTGATTGTAAAAATCTCCAGATAAATAACAGAAATACAGCTTTCATGTTACAAAGCGGTTAATCAGGAATGCATGCTTGTATGTACAGACAGGTGACAAATAAAAGGAAAACCCGACATAAAGTGTCTCAGGAAGGTGTTGGGCCACCACGTGCCACCAGCTTCAGTGTGCCATGGCACTGTTTCTGAATGCTACTGGAGGGATGGACACCATTCTTCCAGAAAAACCCAAGCTGAAACTGTGTCACCACACTTCCCCAATGAAATGAAGGAAACGAGCTGTGTTGTTTTTTTTTATTTTTTCACACAGAATGAAAGTTTGTGTGAATACAGTCTTGCAGTGATGGCACAGTATCACTGCAGCACTATTGTTTGTGCCATCTATCTTTTTTCTGAATATTGTAATGTAGGCTAGCTTGAGGAAGGAGCCAGAAGAGACAGAAGTTGCCTTTTTTCCCCACACACTTTGGCATCCGTACAGAACACACCAAAACAACCCCACCAACCCCAAACTAAATGCACCCCGTCTATAGAGGGGCATTATCGTTTCCATATATTTAAAACTATTTTATTCACATATACTGACAACTTCTGTCTGTTTAAATTTCCACATTTATAAATGTTTCTACTAGTTTTCTACTTTGGAAGGTTCTACTCTATTCAACTTTGTATAACTCAATCTAAATCATTTGCTGTTTAATCCCAATAAACAAGCCTCAGAGGACAAACCAAGATAAAGCTAGAAAAACATGAAAACACTCAGACAGAAAAGCAAGTGCAAGGCTTTAGCATAAACAGAATGATCAGCTGTGGCTCCCATATAAAGAGGTGTTTAATCTCCAAATATAATCACAGTTCTCTGGCCAAATAAAAGCTGTCTTTCAGCTTTGGTTGTTGAATTTAGTAAGAAAACATCCAGAAATAAAAACAAATGAAACTTCTTTTTTTTTAAATCTGTAAATTGACTCCATTAGTTCATGAAAGGTCCATAGAGGATGCTGTAAAATAAACCTTAGAGGTTTATTTGTAAGTTAACTTGCAGGCATTGTGCTGCACTGCACTGTAGTTTACAACTAAGGAATTTGCTCAGTTAATCCAAGTTTGCTGCATCTGAAATAATTAATAGTAGAAGATTCAATATTAACATTAACACATCAAGTGACTTCAAACTTTGTAATTTATGAAGATGACTGAGAACAGAAGCATGATGCTATGCTGCCTAATACATACTGGCTGGATCAAACCCCCAGAAATCCAACAATATTAACTCCATAGGAGCAGTTAGAATTAGGTTAAATTAAAATGTGAAGCTGCTTGCCTGTGTGAAATATGAGGAAGGTAAACACTTTGACAAGAAACACTTTGACAAAGCAATTAACAACAAAAATGTTGCACCACAAACATTAGCAGCCTCCACCTGTATGAATGACTAGAGAGACAAATTGTCAGGTAAGCTTTCAAATCTACGAACACAGAAGTGTCAGAGCAGCCAGGCATTGTAAAATCCCCGGGCCGTCTGTCATATTAACAAAGTTACTCCATTTTGCTGACACACTGACAAGTAGAACAAATTGCTCTAACTGGAAACCAAATGGATATTCTTCAGTATATGAGCTCATTTGTGCTTAAATAAAGACCGTTTTCTCCCTTTTTATGTTCTGCGTGTGCCTCGGCTGATCTTTATATTTCCAAGGTGTTTGCTGAGTATAATTCCCCTGGGGGCATTTGTGTTTGGTTGTACTTCACAATAAACCTGATATGTCACTTGCTCTGCTCGTGATGTTTTGTATATTTACAGGCACTGGCTAAATCCATTTATGGGCAGGCCCACATGTGTATGCCTCTGTTTTTATTGCACTTTATTGTATTTATGCATTTCATTTCAGGGATGTCAGTAAACCACTGTGTTGGCAGAACCAGAGGAAAAACGTCAGTGAAGACAGATCACACACGAAGCCTGACAGCACCAAGCTTCAGAATAATTCCAGCACCAAGTGGGAACATGCTGTTCAAAATGTGTGACATTTGGAGTACACATACATGTTTTA